GACTAAGTTAGTCCACGAGAGAGAGAGAGAGAGAGAGAATGAAAAGAAAAGCATACGCTTGCCTGGGAGAGATGGCCCAACATGAAAGGCTCACGGGGCCACTAGATTTGCACATGGCTCCACCGCTGCTACACTGGATACTGTTCGACAAAAACCCCAACAAGAAGCATAAGCAGAATATAGCGACTTTGACAGATCCTTCTTCATAATTTAGCTCACGACTTGTGAAACACTACACCGGTCTGTAGTCAGTTCCTACTTGTGATACAAGAAGGCAATGCCGAAAACAAAAAAGCCTGCCATCTGTAATAACAAGAATCAGATCATCCACCAAACAAGCAACCACCGTAATATATGTACCATTGAAAACGCGCCCCCGTAGTAAGGGTATGCAGCCTTGATGAACCTTTCGTACTCGTTATGACGAGAAGGTCTCACAGGGATCTGCATGGGCACGCATTTAGTACCACATTTGAATGTCTTCAAGTCTATTTACCTGCTTGCTCAGGTCCAGAGTGGTGTAGCCGAGTCTCTTATAATCAACCTTGAATTGGAATACTCCATAGACGTCCGGGACTTGAAAGGATGTCTCGTATTTACCCTGCATTGCCACACAGCTGATAAATCCATAACTCAGTCCAGTTCTTACAGCACCTTCCCGTTGTGATTCAATGTCTTGAGTACATAAGGGCTCATCATGTAGAACTCCACTTGGACGTCATCTGCTTGGTATGGCTGCCAGTTTTTGCCCGTCCATTCGTAAATCTCGAGAGAAAATTCCTGCGTCACACAGAAAGCAAAGAGTAAGAGCTACGCATTCAGTCAACTTGCTTAACCCACAAGATGGTCGGTGATTCTGTACATCGAAGGCTCGCCGCTCTCTCCAACTTTGTGATGTTGTAGATTTACAGCCTGGAGAATGGGAGGTTAGCGCCAAAATAGTCCTGCGTTTTTAGGATCACCTTTAAGTGGCCTCTTTCATGAAACACCCACTTGCTCAGCTCATCAACGAACTCCTGGTTGCCTGATTTATCGAACCTAAAATAAACACGAAACTTTAGAAATGAATCATCAGACTGGAGCTCAGACCTCTCTGTACTTCCAGTGATTCGAACAGGCGAATTGATGAAACTGCATGAAGACAAGCTCACCAGTCACAACCAAATTTAGAGAAGCAAACAATGCTCACTTGTCGCTGAACATGTCCAAGGACCCCGATATTAAGATGCGTGCATTGTTTCTAGCCTGCAAGGAAAAATTAAAAAAATGAAAAGAAGCAGAAGAAATGAATACAATGCATACCTGGACAACAGAGACCAGTCCGATACTTGTGCCAGTAAGAGCAGGAGGACTCGCCAATACAGCATTCGGATTCGCTGAATACGCTGAGGACGATGCAGTCAACACCTTTATAGCCTGGAATTCTAGATGAACAATATGTTGAAACTAGCAGAAAGGACACTCACCAGGCTATTCGCGGGACTCACTACATGCCCTATGCCACGGTAGAGAATGGGAGCCTAGCAGAAGTATTTGTTGGACAGTAAGCACCTTACAAAAAAGAGCTATTCCTTGATACCTGAATTTCCTTGGCACCAAGAATGACCTTAGATTTGATAAGGCTCTTCGTTGCAAGCAAACTGTGGTCTTTGGCATCGCGTGCATCATCAAAACTCAGATGGTCTATCACAACGGAATCGAAATCCTGAAAATGACGAGATGAATTTTCCAGAATGCTAAATTCACAAAGCTTCACGTACCTCTTCAAACTCTACTCCACATTCAGCAGCCAGGTTGCGAATAAACTGCGAGGTGGTGGAATTCGCAGCCAAAATCAAGTCATGTCCCGAGTCCACAAAGTCAAGCACTGCCTCGCTCGTGAGCGAGCCACCCAATTCTTCACGAACAAACAAAAAACGTGAGGCGATATTTCTACTTTCACACAGATCTTTGCAATGCTTACTTTCGACCGAAGGAGAGAAAATCACGAGAGCGTCGTACAAATACTCTCCATACCTTTGAAGCGCTAGCTTCGGATCTGTCGAAAGCTTCAAATCCAGCTCGTAGCCTCTGTCTACAGCCTCGGATCAGCAAAGAATGCACGAAAATGCGATGCTGCGCAGCAAACCTGAGAGGGATTTGAAGAACAACGAATGCGTGGACTCGATGGCGAGATCCTCCAGAAGAACAAGAACGCGCCGATCGGTTGGATTCTCCTCGGTAAAGGCCGCGCAGCTGAGGATCAGGGATGCGACCACTGCCGCGACGATTGCCTCCGCCCCCGCCATGGCACCCGACAATATAGGTCACACCAGATTCAGGGTTCTACAAACAAATTACAGCCGACGGTTTGGATTTCATCAATCCAACGGCTGCTATGGAGCTTCATCCGACGGTCGACAGTTTCTGATAGAATTGATCGATCTTTCGAAGAGCATTGCCTTGAAGACGAGTTACATCAAAACTTCCATTCCTCTTCAGCTATAAAGATTAGAATTTGCAGCCAGTGGAAGCAAGTTTCGGCAAGTAAAAATACATACGTTCTAAAAGAATGAATTTCGTGGTGTTCGCTTCGGAGCTGGAACATTGTTCAAGCCTTCTAAAACTGCAAGGCACGTATCAAGTAAGTCAGCCATGGGAGTTTAAACGAGCTTAAGTGAACGATCTTATTACACTTTGGACGAACTCTAGCTTAAGTGGCCGCCACGCCCTTCCCCTTGCAGTCTTCACAAACCACAGTCCCCGAGCCATCACAGTATGGGCACTTGGCCCCTTCGCCGGCCCAGTCGAGGAACTGCAAGTTTAAACGAGTATAAGTAACACCGAATGGAAGTGCTTGAAAGCTTGCCTGTTCTTCGACGTTAAGTTCTCCAGTGCCATCGCATTCTGCAAACCAATCTTTGAGATATGTAGAAGAGAAAGTTTGAGAAGTACCAACCCGAGCACAGTGTCTGGCCTTCGCCTCTACACGTATAGCAGTTCTGAGACGCAGCGGGATTCGCTTGCCGCCTGTGCAACAGTCTCTCCGGATCCTCCCATCGATTTTCTCCCAGGAGGTAAACTCGTCCGGTGGAGCTTCTATCCACAACCTCTGGGCTCTGTATAAAGTCGAAGGGTAAGGCCTCAAAAAGCTCCAAACGTTTTACAGGAACTAAGATACCTCGGGCGGTTTGATCGCAGCGGAGGTATTCACTGTTATGACTTGATGCTCACTGATAAGTTGCGACAACACTTGCGCAGTAACAATTCCATCCTCTGCAGCACCTATAGATGACTGCATGCCAGATTCAAGACACGGGGTCATACCTTGCGAGACGAAGGCAAGACAGAGGAGGTAGCAAAAGAGTACCTGCCATGACTTCACAGCCCGGTCTGTGCCGCTAGAGAAAGAAGCATACTCCATGTCGTCGTCCCCGCAATAGAACCCAAGCTTTGCAAGAGCCTCCTGCGAATTCACAAGGAAAAGAACAAGATGGCAATGGTTTAGAAATACTTGGAGCAAGAAAGAAAATGAAACGAAGAGAATGCCGGACGCAAAAACGAAAAGGAAAGCACGTACCACACCTGGAGAAGCTTAACATCATCGCCCTCAGCCCCGTATTTCAAGCTCCGCGCTTCCTGCTTGTTGGAGATGGCGTGCTTCTTCTCTGTCTTGGAAGAACCTTTGGTGCCACCTTTGGAGTTGGAAGAACTTTTGGTCTGGCCAGCGCTAGTCTCCGAGGGCGATAGAACGAACTTGATGCTCTCCACGGATTTCTCGGTAACCATGGGTGGAGCCTTCGCTGGCTGGGACGGTGGCGCCACTGCCTCTTCATTTCTATCGCTCAAAGTTCGCAGGAGACCCACGAGAACATCTCTAAGCGACGAAGGAGACGCGTCGTGCTTGTCAGGGACTTGATCGCTGCGGCCCAACCTCTCCACCTCCTTCCTGAGACTAGTGATCTCTTCCTTCATCCGCGACGACTCCACTGCCCAATATTCTCGATCGCTGTTCCAGCGCTTCTCTTCACGTAGCCATCGCTGCTCCTCCCTCTTCCACCTCTCCTCCTCGCGGAGCCACCGGGCCTCCTCGCGCTCCCAGTAGGTGCCGCTGCTCGATTCCTGGGCCGATACAATGCGAGCGCTGCGAAATCTCGTCCTCGCGGCGATTCCCTTGCGGAGGCTGTGAGCGCCGCGAAATTCAGACGGGAATCTGTGCTGGGAGCTCATGAGGTTGTTGCCATGGATTTGGAACGCGCAGGAGCCGGATGACGCGGCTGCCGCTGGAAATCGCCCGGTGACGATGCACGATAGGCAAGGCATTGCTCGCGCTCGCGATTAAGCATCAAGAGAGGGGAATGTGGCCCTCACCGGAGATCCCCGCGCATTTTTTTCGTCCACACCTCCAAACAGCCCTAAAACCATAACCAAGATGACACAACAAATACCAACCGTCGGATAAAATGCATGAAATCCAGACCGTCGATTTTAGTTTCTAGATTTTGAAGAGAATATGCGTCGATTCTCCAAATCACCTTTTTAGAAGAATAAGAATATTCTTGAACCATGAAAAGGTTCTCGCGCTCTAAACTATAAAGCCCCATCTCCCCCAAATCCTAATTCCCATAGTGAAAGAGAAAAGAGAATGGCGACAAAAAGGAGCATTTGTTTGAGGATCCTTTTGGTGATCCTGGCAGTTCTAGCTTTTGTTGCTGAGAGTCGCATGCTCCCAGGATCATCAAGCAGCAGCAGTAGCGAGCCACCCTTTTGCCCGGTGCCAAATGTTGGAGCTTCTTGCAAGGCCGTGGGCGATTGTTGCCTAGGCTTGGCGTGCATCGACCAAGAGTGTGTGGAATTCGGGTTTTAGATAAAACGAGCCTTCCAACAGTGAACTAATCTAGATTTAACAAAAGTTTGTCTTGTAAAGGCAATGTGTAATGGACTATCACCTCAAAATATTTTGTGATCTAAAGAAAATCTTGTCAAGCTGTAATCATCCTAATGCCTCTATAGCTCAGTGGTAGATCGTCAGGCTTGTAAACTTGAAATTTCGGTCCTTAACCCTAGACTTGCTTATCTCAAAAGAGCTTTCAAGCATACGGTCTTACGGTATAGAAACGAGGGAGTTAAACACTGGACCACTTAGTCTACACAGAAAACTTACAAGACTATACATTTACGATTTGGCAGCTTTAGACGGCTTGAACAATTGCCTAACACCATCAGCCGGTGATATGTTCCAGCTCTCGACGTGCCTGATCGACAACAAAATTATTTCTTGAAGCACAGCTCGAGAGTATGGATCTTACTTGCAAATCTTGCCAGACTCGTCATCGAAGAAATACTCTGTGCTTCCGCTAGCTGCAAAGTAATCCTCAAACCTTTAGAAAGTGTGAAAGATTGGAGACGAGAGGTACCTGATATAGCTGGCCTCCAAGGCAAAGCAAGAACGCATCGAAAACGCCATCCTACTTTGAGACTATCCTGCTCGAACACCAAGAAGGAAAAAAAAAGAGACGACGAATTTGGTTTTGTGATCCAGAAAATCGTCACCTCTTTTTCGTCCCAGCTCGCAATCTTGAGTGTCGACTTCTCCATGAAAGCCCCGAGATTGGAAACGTTTTGCTTGAATCGCTTCAGGCCTTTAAATGATACAAAAGGGTCTGCGAACTCGCAATCGCTCTTGTAAATCCCGGTGGTCATCTTTCCTGTGAGCCGATCAAAGGAATTACTTCCAAGAAAAACACGAATGTACCTGTGACAAAATAAGACTGCTCGTAATCCTTCCTGATCAGATCGCACGCCATTTCTCTCGTCACGACCTCAAAATCCCCTTCTTCTTGCTCCTGGTCCTGCGATTTCCCTAGCCCGGATTGGAAATTTCGCAAGCCGGCAGCAGCGATCCCGAATGCCTCGGACAGATACCAAACCATTCTCACCGGCACGCTCGCATTTGCCGTGGGAGGAGTGCGCCGCCGCTCCTCCTTGAGCTGCCGCGGGGCCTCGCATCGCGCCCCAAAACTTACCCTAGAGCCCCGGCATCGCGATCGCGAGCAAGGGACGCGAAACCCTAAGCACGAGCTCCGCAAGGAAGAAGAATCCATTAATCTGGGATGAAATTTTCCCGCCACTAGTACCTCGAGATAAGAATATTCTCCAAGAGATAGGGCAAGACTTCCAGTGCGCATTGGATGGCGGCTGCTCGAGCGCCATGCCCCCCGGCGACGGGCTTCAGTTCTAGATTGGAGCTGGAGACTTCACATAGATCGGCAGCGCGATCGTCCTCCGCATCAGCGCTTCCGGGGCGAGTAAGTAGCGATTTCTCTGTCTGGTGAAAGACTATTTTGCGATCGATCAATGTGTGTGTGTGATCTCTTGCTAGTGAATGAGATTTAGTGATCTTTGCAGCTGAGGGCCACGGCAGTGTCAGCGGGGGCTGTTTCATCCGACTCCAAGCAGGGAAAATCGCGAAGCCCTGTTGTTGTGATCGATAACTATGACAGCTTCACATACAACATTTGCCAGGTTCCATTTTTTTGTTCTCTTTTTTCTCCCTTGTTCATTCGATCTATGCTCTGCAGTATTTGGGAGACCTTGGATGCGAGTTCGTCGTGTATCGGAATGACGAGATTTCCGTTCAAGCTTTGAAAAGGTACCTCTTCACGTCTATCAATCACTGAATACAATCGCCTTCATCTTTTCTTTCTTTCGCAGTAAGCGGCCTCGTGGGATTTTAATTTCTCCGGGACCAGGTATGTTCTCCGTGTAGATCTTATTCTTCCAAGCAAAGTCCTTCCAGGTACTCCACAGGATTCTGGTATATCTTTGCAGACAGTGAAAGAACTCGGGCCCTCTATTCCTTTGTTTGGCGTCTGCATGGGACTCCAGTGCATTGGCGAGGCGTTTGGAGGTGCGTACTACTTCGTTTTCCCGGTTCTGGTCTGTACCTTGATTGGCAGGAAAGATTGTTCGAGCACCAAATGGCGTGATGCACGGGAAAGTTTCTTCGGTATACTATGACGAGAAAGGTGAACCAGGAATATTTTCAGGCTTGCCCAAGTATGCTTTCTTATCTGTTACCAATCTCTTTTCAAACACTTGTTTTTAGTCCATTTACAGCGTGCCGGTATCACAGTTTGGTCATCGAAAGAGAAACCTTTCCTGGCGACGAGCTTGAGATCACGGCGTGGACGGACGATGGTCTCATCATGGGCGTGCGGCATCGCAAGTATAAGCACATCCAGGTAGGAAGTTCTTGCTGTGCATCAAGTTGTGTTCTTCAATCCTTCCTTACTTCTTCGACTCGATCAGGCTGTCCAGTTCCATCCCGAGAGCATCATCACGCAAAATGGGAAGCAGATTCTGGAAAACTACACCCGGTTGATGAACCTCCAGGAATCTCGAGTAGAGGATGAAGAACCTTTCCTGGCGGGAAGAAGAGGAGGAACTGGAGCATAGAGACACAGTTTTCTCTGTAGAAAAAGTGGTCAGCGGTGTTGCTATCCGAAAGAGGTTCACGTGTTAAACTCCTTCGTTTCCATAGCGTAAGGAAGCTTCATCGATCTGGCATGGTTGAAAGCTCTTTTTTTTCCACCTCCTCAGAGATCACGCCCAGGTTTTTGCTTGACTATACTGAAGGACCAAGGTCTAATTTTCCCAGAACAAAATACATTGCCTCCATGGAGGATTGAACTCCAGGCCTTCAGTTTACAAGACTGACACTCTACCACTGAGCTATAGAGGCATTACAGCTTGACAAGATTTTACTGAACTTTAGATCACAAAATATTTTGAGGTGATAGTCCATTACAGGTTTGTAAGTGCTAGCGTCTCTAAAATTCGTACCTCCGCAGCGCTCCATCCTCATCATCATCCTTGTCCTCCTCTGACCACAAATCCGTGTCCACAAGTCCACACTTTAGAAGCCCGCACTTTAGAAGCACCCGCTTCGTTTATCTGCAGCATCGGCTTATCGCTGCAATCGTCGAGAAGCACAAGCTTGGCTAGAAAAACCAACAATTCCCAAAATTTCCAAAATGTGATGGTTAAATGTAAACATCCAAGGCTGAAACACTGAAGACTATTCAAGGACGCTTATCGTGGTGATGGCAATATGGCTCGTCACCACGAAAACGCCGACACGGATTTCCACTTCCCGTGCTCAAGGAACCGCACCGACCAAGCTTTCTCAACTCCTCCACCTCAGCTTTAGCTTCTTCAGGGTTGCTTGCCACCTTGACGTTCTTGCTACTCTCGAGATGCAGCCTGCAGCATGCAACGTCGATGACTTCCAGCAGTTCACTCAAACGGCCAAAACAAATGAACACCTCCTTGTAACCCACGCCATTGCGTATCCATATCTTATCAGCACTGTCCACTGCCAAGATCCAAATAAGAACCTTCTCTCGCGCGTCACCTTTTGTCATCTCCAAAAATCGCGAGAGCGTATTTCCATGCTTCAATACCACATCCACCCCAGTCGCTATTTGCACCCACAAAACGTGCTTCTGGTTTTCTCCAAGGCAATCAACTCCCGTGTGGTTGAACTTCACAGGTGGGAAGAAACGAGAAACATTGTCTGCGATCAGAAATTGGGGAGAGAAATCACCTTCGAATCTGACAACCACTTCAGGTTTGAAGTTAAGCTGCAGACCTTCCGTGTCAATAACGATACCATAGTGTTTGATGAAAATGAGAGTTGCCATTTCTGCGTTCCACCCAACGTTGTCGTCGTGCCGGATCAGCCTTGTCCATTGGCCGATACCCATCCTAGCCTCAAAGTCGGACGCGTACCGCAGAGTCTCGGTGATGAGCACCATAGTGCGCGCACGCAGAGAATCTGATAGACATTTTCCTATTTCTGTCTCTGCATCCACGTAGAAGCATCGAGTGTCTAGCGCGTCTGGCAACACCGTTGTAATCGTGTCCACTCCGCCGACCACAGCGATGAAGCAATTCCAGCGATATCGGTCCTTGACCGCCTCTTGGATATACTCTCGCAGGCCAGCTTCGTACATGTGGTACGTGGTCCGTAGCTTCCAGGTCCCGTAATGAGCGACAAGCCCGGGAACCCAGCCAGTCTCACTTTTAAATTCCGAGCAGAGCTCCATGTCGGACAAATTCAGCTCCTCCTCAGATCCATCAACCTGCTTCATCGCGTCGGTAAGCCACACATTCACACATTTCATTTACCTTAATGCGTTTCGCATTCAACTCTCGGTGGCCTTGCCTTGTGGCAAGCCTGCAATACGCCACAATCGGATCCTCCTACTCCAAACCATTAGTAGGCTTTAAAGGAAGACACGGTAAATACTATGCTCACCTCCGCTTGGAGCCCCCCGGCACGACGAACCTCGTGTTCGCAATATGCCTGCAGTTCCTCAGCCTGTTGGATAAAAGGAAAAGCACACAAGTTAGCCCCACACCAGTGTTGGAAAGTAGTCGCTACTTACGCTGTAACCACCTGTGACTAACATGTACGGAGGGCTTTTGTCGCTCACTACTCTGCTCCTCCACAGAGGTCCGACGGACGAGCAGTAGACAACGACGTCCTGCAGTTGCATCGTCATCATAGAATGGTAAGCCTCGTCCCTTCTTTCCGCGCTGGCAGCCCCCAGTTTTCACACCCAGCGTGGTGTCAAACGCGTTGGCCTCGTCCACCAGAAAGTAAAGCTGCTCTGACGATCTCGACAGGATCCAAGATTCTAATACTTTCAAGGTCCACCCCCGGCACGAAAGCTCGGCTGGAAGGTCGTCTATGTAGCTCAGCAAAAGAGCCAGCCACATTGTCCTCAAGGGATTGTCGACGAAATCTTCGCCATTGATAAAGACGACCTTCTTGGAGGTGTTCTTCCAAAGGTGCCGAAGATATCCAGCCACAGTAGCAAGAACAGTGGTCTTCCCAGACCACCCCGGAGTTCCAATAATAATACCTGGAGGTTTGTTGTCATTATCCGAAGCGCCGTGTCTCAAGGCCGATATGAAACTTTCTATCTCCTTGAAGAGTGAGCGACCCATGTACATGTATGTTTGATTGCCATCCGTTCCAGAGAAAGCGGGAATATGGAGCTACCGAAAAGTCGCATGGCTTGTCCAGTCAATGCCGCCGTCAGCAAAATCTGCGGTCAGGTTCTCGTCCAGCTTTTTGGCCCAGGCGATCATGTCTGAAACCAAAAATTATGGCATTCAGTCCCCTAGACATCATTCTTACCAGGCACGTAAGAATCGGCTGGAGGAAGTCCCGCTGCTGGCGCTGGCGCTGGTGCTGTGAGAAGCACAATAAAGTCTATGGAGGAATGGCCACAGAATTAAACACAGCCAAAGGGCAAACAGGGGTGAGAATGACCACAAGGATGCGGAGATTACCAGATATCCACACAGAAAGAAAGAAACAGATTCAGGAAGCAAAAATCCTTAACCGTGACCAGACAGGGAAAGCAAAGCAGGACAGTGGAGCCGCTCCGGGATAAAGAGTTGCTGCTGCTCCGGGTGAAAGAGAGGCTGCTGCGGGAGAGGAGAAAGAGATCCTTAGTCATCTCTTCCATGTGTGGTTATGGTCAGGGATTTCGCAACACGCCACAAACCCAAAATAAAAGCGAATTGAAGCTACCTCTGGCAAAATCCTTAACCATGGCTGAAAGCAGCCATCCCCAAATCGAGGGGGAAAGCTAAATACACAAAGAATGACTTACCATTACATTGGAGGAGGAGGAGTTCCTTCTTCCGCAGCTGTTCTTTTTCCTTCCGCAGCTGTTCTTCCTTCTTCCGCAGCTGCTCTTCCTTCTTCTGCCAATATTTCACCAGAGATTGATTGCCACTCTCAAAGGCAGAGAGAAAAGATTCCCCAGCCGCTTGGATCTGCGGCTCAAGACGCCCGATTTGAGCCTGCACCTTAGCCAATTCCTCGTCCATTTCGTTAATTGAAACCCTATCGTGAAAACCTAGGTTGGTGGTGGGCTTTGCCCTAAAACCGTAACGATAGCACGATAAAGAGACAAAATGTGAAAACTTAGCCACAATTTTGTTTGTTTTAGTGGCTTCTATTTTACAGTTGGTCTTCCTACCACCAAAGTAGAGAATGTGGCAGACTCTATGAAGTAGAGAATGTGGCAGCCACCATAGAGTCAGCCACATGGCTTGAGTCACATTTCTTCAATTTAACGTTCTTACCTCTTTTTGCTGTTTTGTGAGAGCTGCTTGTTCTTGGAGTTTTCTCTTTCTGCAGAGTGTTAGGTGGAGAGGCTAGCTTCTCTTCACATGGTATAAGAGGCATAGGTTAGAATTTTTGGCATGAGTAGTGCTTTAGACACTAGGTGTCATCTTTGTCCTTTGGAAAAATGGAGCAATGAATTTCCTTGCCTGCAGAATTCTGATTTATGAGGTGGTATCTAGAATGACAAAATGCCCTAAATTACAATCATGTTAAGCTATATGGTAGATGGCCACAAACTAAGTGTAGGTTCTATTGTGGGGTTGATAGGTGAATTGGCATAGGGAGCTACAAAGTTAATGGTGTCTTCATCATTAATTATAAATAATTAAAAAGTAAATTAAACTTACCTGATGTCAATCAATATCTAGTGCAATTCTTTTAGCCAATCAATAAAGTCGGACCCAAGACCTCTCTGATACCAAATATAAACTCTTGAGTTGAGCTATGGCTTTCAGCTTCCATTCATGAAGGCATGAAATTACATGGAAGCGTGGTGGATTATAAGCAACCAAAAAGAACGATTTGAAAAATGATACATAGGATTCAAATATAAAGGGAAAACGCCCTTAAAAAAAGTGCACCCCTTTTTCAAATTAGTTAAAGGTTTTGGGATACTTGAGTTAAACGTTCTTAGGTTTGAATAGTACTAGGTTAGGTGACCTCCTGGGAATTCCAAACTCAGGAACTTACACTTAATCACTCCTTTTATTGTCACCCCTGGAAAGTCTAAACTTAGGAGCTTACATTGATCACTCCTTTTATTGTTGTCAGAAATCCCCCAATTCTTGCCACATTCCTGACTCTCGCCAGATTCTTGACCTGCAGACCACATTCCTGACTCTCGAGACACTTCCCTATTCCTGACTCTCAAAACACTTCCCTATTCCTGACTCTCGATTTCCCATACGATTCCTGAGTCTCGAGCCACATTCCTGATGATGATGTGACGCCTCCTCAACCTCAACTATATTTGGGCCGTCCTCGATCCAAAAGTGGTGGAGCTTCATCAACCTATAGTATATATAAGTTAGCTTTGTTCCATTTCTCTACAATCTGAATCAACACTAGTCTAAGGCCTCTTCTTCGTTATTCACTAGCTTTTCTCTTTGTCTTTTGCATTTTCCAGTCTTGATCTTGTTAGGGGTCTTGATAGTTTGATTTAGATTGTGTTTTTTCGTTTTTTGCTTTAGCTTGTTTTGATTGTTTGACTGCCTTTGCATTTTTTCCCCCTTTTTTCTTTCTTCTTTTCCAATGGAGTTTCCAAGCCATCCTGATTTCTTTGCCGAAGTCCTTGCAAAAATCCAGTCTGAGAATATTGAGCTGAAGGCGACCCTTCTTCGCATGCAACAGGAGCTTGCTTCACTTTCGGCTCAAGGATCCAACAAAGTTCCTAAACCGAAGGTGAGTTTCCCGGCAAAATTTTTAGGGAAGCGTTCAGAGCTTCGTGGATTCCTGAACCAGATGGAGCTGATCTTCGGACTTTAACATCGGCGGTACCCCACTCCCGAGTCTCAAATTGGTGCGATTGGGATGTTGCTCGAAGGTGCAACTTTGTCATGGTTTTCTCCTCTCCTGGAGAAGAGCATGAAAGGGGTCGTGGTTCTGGAGCTGATGGATTTTCAATTGTTCAAAGAGAAGCTCGAAGCATGTTTTGGCGAGACGGATCGGGTTCGGGCTGCCACCACAAAGATGAGACGTCTCTCTCAAGGGTCTCGTCCTGCCTCGATCTATGCTGCAGAGTTCCAACTCCTTGCCTTGGACACTCAATAGGATGAGCAGGCCTTGATTGATCAATTTCGTTTCAGCCTCAACAACGGTGTCAAGGATTTGTTGCTCACCATGGAGGATCCCACGGACTTGTCGGACGCCATCAACAAAGCTGTTTGATGCGACAATCGTCTCTTTGAACGTCATCAGAAAAGTCACCGTGCCGCCGTTTTCCCGTCCCAGACTCAGGAATCCCAGCTTGAGTCTTCAGAGCATACTCCTGGACCTACTACTCCGGTCCCGATGGATATTTCTGGTACTCCCCGACTCATCAGAGGGAAGTTGAGTCCTGCTGAGAAGCAACGTCGAATATCTCATAATCTTTGCCTCTACTATGCTGATCCTAATCACAAAGCAACTGTGTGTCCCAAGAAGCCTCCCCGATTGCTCGAGTTCACTCTGCCTCAAAGTCCATCTCTGTTGCAATTGGGAAACGACCCTGTCCAAACAAAGTAGGAGCTGTCTGTTTGGACTCCCCAAATAAAAATCACTTTTCTTCTTTATCAAGCTCTTCACCACCTTTCATCAAAGCCACCACCAATTCCCGCAACTTCCGCATCCTATGTCTCCTTTCTTTCACCGGACAATCAGGACTCAAGGCTCTGGCACTACTGGACTCGGGTGCAACTTCCTGCTTCATGGACACGAACTTTGCTGCCTGACATCACGTTCCTCTTTCTCCTACCATACGGGATCTGAGGGTTGAAGGCATCGGCAGGCATTTTGTGTTTCCATCTTCTGGACTTAGGGAAATGTTGCCCTTTCAAGTACACATCGGGTCCACCGTCACCGATATCGCCTTCAACATCATCAACAACAAGTCCTTCTCTGTGGTGCTTGGCCTCCCTTGGTTCCAACTACATCAGCCTCAGATCTATTGGAAGGAATTACAGCTCGTCTCTCCCACATCATCATCTCCCATGGCTTCCCCTGCTGTTCATCGAGTCCGAATCAGGAAAAGTTCCTTAAACTTAAATTGGGGTTCTATTCCTGACTCTACGAAGTTTTCACCCTCTTCTTTTTCCTCTCTTCCATATTACACTGGACAGTATCCTCGTCTCATCATTCCATTTAGTTGTACACCTCCTCCTATCTCCACAATCACTATGAAAGAACTTCTTCATGAAGAATCTATTTTCCTTTTTTGCTTTGCATGTTTCTCCTGTCAGTGTTCCTGAGAAGTATCATGATTTTGGGGATGTGTTTGACAAGAAAAAAGCTAGTGTACTGCCTGTTCATCAGCCTTATGACTGTCCCATTGATTTACAGGAAGGAGCATCACCTCCGTGGGGGCCTATCTATGGGTTATCCCCGTCCGAGCTTAAGGCCCTCAAAGAATACGTGGATGAGAACCTTGCCTCGGGGTACATTCAGCATTCGCAGTCCCCGACTGAAGTGCCTGTCTTCTTTGTCAAGAAGAAGGATGGGAGTTTGCGGCTAGTCATCGACTACCGAGGTTTGAACAAGGTGATTGTTCGGAACCGTTATCCACTGCCCCTGATCTCAGACATATTGGAACGCCTCAGCGGTGCCTGCTTCTTCACCAAGATCGACCTCTGTGGAGCATACAACCTGATCCAGATCCGGCCTAGTAATGAATGGAAGACTGCGTTCCGAACCCGCTATGGTGTAAGGAACCAACTCGCCGAGGTGTCGTAGGCTAAAGGAACCCCGAAAGCATGACCAAAATGACAAAGAGTTCATCGGATGGGACCAAGTCAAAGATCGAGTCCAAGACCGACTCTAGGACCGAGTTCGAGATCGAGTCCGGAATCGAGTCCGAGACCGACTCGGGGACCGAGTTCGAGTCCGAGTTCGAGACTGAGTTCGAGACGGAGTCCGAGATCCGAAATCGGGTCCGAGACCGAGTTCGAGGTCGAGTCCGAGGTCGGGTACGAGATCGGGTCCGAGATCGAGTCCGAGATCGAGTCCGAACCCGAATCCGAAGTCGGATCCGAAATCGGGTCCGAGATCGAGCCAGAGACTAAGTCCAAATACTAATACGGGTCAAGGGGTGAAAGCCCAAAGCGTGCGTCTCCCAGGGGGGGGGGGGGGCTGTAGGGGGTTCCAAAAGTATGGTAGGGATAGTGAGGTCCAGGAACCAGTTTAGAAGGGACTCTCCAGTGGGGCTCCCAAACTGACTTGAGGTTGGGACTGGGACCGAGGGGCCTTGGGTGGGAGTGAGCATGGACTTGGTTGGTGCCGGAGGGGCCATCCAAGGAAGTGCTCAAGAGCAGCTCCCACTCCCGAAAGGGAAACCGATTGCGGTGCTCCCGGCTCAAGTGGAGTGGTGCCCCACTTGAGTACCATGCGGCTCATTGGTCCTCGCCCTTCCTAGGGGCTTGGGCCTTCCTTCGGGATGGAAGTGGGGGGCGAGAGGTACCCATACCGGGCCGCTAGGCCACGGTGTTTCGCCCCGGCGTCCCGAAGCAAGTGTTGCACTCAAGACTTGGGATTTAGAGGGTCCCATGATCAAGTCTTGTGGTACCAAAGGATGTTAGGAACCTGGAAGCTTGGTGTGCTTGGCTGCTTGTGCTTGCGGGGAGTGTAGCCGAACCTTAAGTCCAGTCTAACCCGGGGAGGGGGATTGGGAGTGATTTGGGAATCCGTGGATGGTGGCTAACACTCCGTTGCTCGTGCAGTGAGTAGCTGAGACCAAGTAGGAGCTGGTACCATAGGCGAGAACCTTGGCAAGGGAACTTAGCAAAAGCCAAGGCGGTGTTGGACGGATAGGCGAGGTAAGCTGGCAAATTGGAAAGGAAAAATTTGTGGCTTACATATGGCCACTTCGAATACACCGTTATGCCATTTGGCTTGACAAATGCTCCAACAATTTTCCAACACATGGCAAACAACGTCTTTCGGGAGTTTCTTGATCAGATGGTGATCGTCTACCTTGATGACATCCTCATCTACTCAAAAACTCAGGAGGAGCACGACGAGCATGTGCGCAAGGTGTTGGCAAAGCTGCGGGAACATGGCTTATATGCGAAGCTTGAGAAATGTTCCTTCGATCAGGAGTCTGTGGAGTTCCTTGGGTACATTGTCACTCTTGAGGGTATCACGATGGATCCTGCCAAAGTCAAGATTATTCTCGAATGGGAGCCTCCACAATCAATGTCGGATGTTCAGGTTTTCCTTGGCTTCGCCAATTCCTATTGCAAATTCATTGATCACTACTCTGACATTGTCCTTCCTCTCACGCATCTCACTCACAAGGATGTTCCCTTCTCTTGGTCTGCTGCTGCCCAGCAGGCCTTCGACACACTCAAGGCGGCCTTCAGTTTTGCTCTTGTCTTGATCCACACTGATCCCTCACAACCTTTCTTCATCGAGGCTGATGTGTCTGACTTTGCCATCAGTGCTGTGTTGTTTCAACTCGGAGCGGATCAAGAATTTCATCCAGTCGCCTTCCATTATCAGAAATTCCAACCTGCGGAGATCAATTACGAAATCCATGACAAGGAGCTTCTTGCCATCGTGGATTCCTTTGGAGAGTGGTGTCGTTTCTTGGAGGGGGCGGGCCATCAAACAATGGTCTGGACGGATCACAAAAATCTTGAGTGCTTTGCCACTTCCTGAGTTTTGAGCCGTCGTCAAGCAAGGTGGGCACAATTCTTGAGTCGGTTTGACTTTGTTATCAAGTACAGACCTAGAAAGTTTCAAGGCCTTCCTGATGCTCTTTCAAGGCGGTCCTATCTCAGTCTCAGGCCTGGTAATCCTGCCTTCAATCAACATGATCAAGTTATCCTCGGTCCTGATCGGCTTCAAGTTATGGCAATTTCTCTGGCCCCTCAGGACTCCTCCTTGATGAATGCGATCAGAAATGATCTTCAATCCGAGGGGGTGCTATCAGGAATTGTCGCGAATGTGACTTCGGGTATCGAAAGTTACCTGTCGACCAGTCCTTACGGACACTCTTTCCTTACTGCCATGATGGCAGGAGGTCAGTATTGCTAGACCCTTTGCCAGCCCCTCTTGTTCAAGTGTTAGTAAACTGGACTTTGCATCTGTACTTGGCCGGATGAGCATAAGGACGGAATTCCTAAGTGTCTATTTAGCCAAACATACTTGGCCTGGCTTTTTAGTTCTCTTTTGCTCTGTCTTGCACTGGCTTGACAAGAACCCTCGCGTATTGAGATTAGTCCCTCAATATCGCTGGATAATAGCTTACCGTGCCTACCAAAAACCCTCGCTATCATGCCTTTTGTGTTAGTCTCATTTCGGTCCCAAATGCTATTTATGGAAAGTGTCCAAATTTGTGTGAGACACAAAATCCCTAGGCCCCCAAAGTGGAGCTGGAAAGGGTGCCACGTGGTAGTGGCCGAAGCGAAAGCCAAACGAGCATAACACGTTTGGACTAAAAGCTCCGACTTGGAAGGTTGAGAGCGGGAGTGGAACTCCCAACAAAGTGCTCGAGGAGCAAGCACGAGGCAACCAATAAGCAAGGCTCCAAAAAGGGACCCAAAAAGGACCAACACATGACACGTGGAAGTGTCCGACATGGAGTCCGAGGCGGACCCGAGTTGGAGTCCAAGATGGACCCGAAGTGGAGTCCGAGATGGACCCGAAGTGGAGTCCGAGATGGACCCGAAGTAGAGGCCGAAGTGGAGTCTGAGATGGAGTCCAATATGGAGTCCGAGATGGACCCGAAGTGGAGTCCGATATGGAGTCCGAGATGGAGTCCGAGATGGACCCGAAGTGGAGTCCGATATGGAGTCCGAGATGGACCCGAGATGGAGTCCGAGATGGACCCGAGATGGACCCGAGATGGAGTCCGAGATGGACCTGAGATGGAGTCCGAGATGGACCCGAGATAGACCCGAGATGGAGTCCGAGATGGACCCGAGATGGAGTCCGAGATGGACCCGAGATGGAGTCCGAGATGGACCCGAGATGGAGTCTGAGATGGACCCAAGATGGAGTCCGAGATGGAACCGAGACCGGGACCGAGACCGAGACCGAGACCGAGACCGAGATTGAGTCCGAGTCCGAATTCGGGACCGAGACCGAGACCGAGTCCGAGTCCGAGTCCGAATACTAATACAGGCAGTTGGGTGAAAGCCCAAAGCGATCGTCCCCCAGGGCGGGGGTTTCCAAAAGTATAGTAGGGAGAGTGTGGGGGTTGGAGCCCAGTGGAGCCAGTTTGGCTAGGAAAGGCCAGTTTGGCCCAGGAAGGCCAGACCCAGTGTTGGGTGATGAGCTGACCACTGGGAAGTCCAAGACTAGAGTGAACACAGACCGACAAGCGGGGTAGCTTGGTGAAGTGTTCAAGAGCCGGCTCTAGTTCCCCCGGGAGATCGACTGGCCGATGCTCCCAGTCCAAGTGTGGGTGGCACTACCTACTTGGATACCAGGCGTGGCTCAACGGAACCTCGCTCTAAGCCCATGGCTAGAGCACCCAAGGGCGGAAGGCGGGGAGAGTACCCAGGTGGCTCGCGTAAGGCCACGGTGTTCCGAAATGTTGTCCCAAAGGCTCAGACTGTGGAAAGGAAGAGGAGCAGTCCTCTGGGGTAGTGACCAAGGACACAGTCGTGTGGTGAGGAAGTCCCAGTGGACCGTGGGACTTAGTGGTCGGGCCTGTGGGCCTCGATCCAGTGGCAGTGTTGGCAAACACGGCCATGGACGAAAAGGGACTTAGTGGGGATTGGAACGGAGATATTGGGGAAGGCTAATCCCCATGTCGGTGGGCATCCTAAGGATGCTAAGGAGTGGATTTGGGATGATCACTCATGGATGGATGGCCCAGTCTTTAAGTGATGGGATTGGGATGCAGATGGTGTCAGACCATCGTTGTGACCAAGGTGAATGGGCATGGCCTTAGCGTAACAGGCTGATATGTTGGTGGTACCTTGGGGTGTCAGTCATGGGATCGGACACGTGGAGCACTTGGACCAAGTGCACGAAGTTGAGTGGCGGGGATGCCATTCTCGGGGCTAGTAAGCCCAGGTCCAAAATAGGACTTACGGAGGTTGTGAGTGAGACTCCTCCAAGTGGTCGGAGGTGCGGTTAAGTGACTAAAGTAAAATGGAAAATTTAGTCACTTACAACTTAGTATCGGAGTTGTTCTTTAGTCCGACTTTTATTGGTGCTCAAGTATAACACCATTGATATTGGCATCAGAAAGTCCTAGGAGTGGGCCTATCCTTGAGGAGTAGCATGTCGAGAGGACATGGCTCTCCACTCAAGTTCATGCGTGAACTTGGGTGCAATGTGCTGGATAGAAAAGGGGCCAATAATGGAATGACTTTGGGATCTTGGGAATAGTATAAGGGTTTCTTCAGAGAGTTGAGGATGTGATCCAGATGAGCGTTTGACTTAACAAACTTGCTAATGTAGTTGTGGTAAACAACTACAATTGGGATCACGGGGAAGATGCAGACTCCAAAACAATAAAGGAGTCACAAGATTACCCTTATATGGTTGAGGCTGGTACTCATAAATTCGAGACTAAAATTGTTGACTGTGGGATGTCAAATACAGAAGAGGACACCAGCCCTTGAAATGGTAGCCGGGGCTACCTTTAATAAATGTTAGAACAACCCAAAGAGTTGGGGGGTGTACTTAAAGATGAGTTGGTATTCTCATCACATGGACAAGTAGTTCTAAGGGGCAGAAGTTGCCCTAGAGAACAAAAACAAGTGTCAGAATAACACTTGTGAAAATAGTCCTTCTAAGTAGGACAGGAATGCAGGAAGTGTATTCCAGTGAGCTAGTGCTTCACAAGTGGGACCTTATAGGTCTGTGAATTAATCAAGTCTAAAACTGCTGGATGACTTAAGTAGAGTCAAAAAATGGTCCTAAAAGGACTGATGGAAGCATTTGGACTGAGGTGTGTTGTACCCCACGAAGGATGGGGGGGGGATCATAGGATCCAAACAGAAGTTGGGGTTCGAATCTGACAACCACTTCAGGTTTAAAGTTAAGCTGCAGACCTTCCGCGGTAATAACGATACCATAGTGTTTGATGAAAATGAGAGTTGCCATTATTGCGTTCCACCCAACCCGAGCACTGTTGTCATCCTGCGAGATCAGCCTTGTCCATTGGCCGATACCCATCCTAGCCTCAACGTCAGACGCGTACTGCAGAGTCGCCATAGTGCGCGCGCACAGAGAATCTGATGGACATTTTCCTGTTTGTGTCTCTGGATCCACGTAAAAACATCGAGTGTCTAGCGCGTCTGGTAACACCGCTCTAATCGTTTCCACTCTGCTGACCACAGCGATGAAGGAATTCCAGCGATCTGGGTCCTTGACCGCCTCTTGGATATACTCTCCCAGGCCAGCTTCGTACATCTGGTACGTGGTCCCTAGCTTCCAGGTCCCGTAATGAGCGAACAAGCCTGGGAACCCAGCCGGTCTCACTTTTGAATTCCGAGCAAACGCATTAAGGTAAATGAAATGTGTGAATGTGTGGCTTACCGACGCGATGAAGCAGGTTGATGGATCTGAGGAGGAGCTGAATTTGTCGGATCAACTCTCGGTGGCCTTGCCTTGTGGCAAGCCTGCAATACGCCACAATCGGATCCTCCTACTCCAAACCATTAGTAGGCTTTAAAAGAAGACACGGTAAATACGATGCTCACCTCCACTTGGAGCCCCCCGGCACGACGAACCTCGTGTTCGCAATATGCCTGCAGTTCCTCAGCCTGTTGGATAAAAGGAAAAGCACACAAGTTAGCCCCACACCAGTGTTGGAAAGTAGTCGCCACTTACGTTGTAACCACCTGGCTTTTGTCGCTCACTAATCTGCTCGTCCACGTACTTGAGCAGTAGACAACGACGTGCTGCAGTTGCATATTCTTCATAAAATGGTAAGCGTCGTCTCTTTTTTTCGCGCTGGCAGCCCCCGGTTCTCTCTTCAGCGTGGTGTCAAACGCGTTGGCCTCGTCCACCAGAAAGTAAAGCTGCTCTGACGATCTCGACAGGATCCAAGATTCTAATGCTTCCAAGGTCCGCCCCCGGCACGAAAGCTCAGCTGGAAGGTCGTCTATGTAGCTCAGTAAAAGAGCCAGCCACATTGTCCACAAGGGATTGTCAATGAAATCTTCGCCATTGATAAAGACGACCTTCTTGGAGGTGTTCTTCCAAAGGTGCCGAAGATATCCAGCCACAGTAGCAAGAACAGTGGTCTTCCCAGACCCCGGAGTTCCAATAATAATACCTGGAGGTTTGTTGTCATTATCCGAAGCGCCGTGTCTCAAGGCCGATACGAAACTTTCTATCTCCTTGAAGGGTGAGCGACCCATGTACATGTATGTTTGATAGCCACAGAAAGCGGGAATATGGAGCTCCCGAAAAGTCGCATGGCTTGTCCAGTCATGGCATTCAGTCCCCTAGACATCATTCTTACCAGGCACATAAAAATCGGCTGGAGGAAGTCCCGCTGCTGGCGCTGGTGCTGTGAGAGGCACAATATAGTTTATGGAGGAATGGCCACAGAATTAAACACAGCCAAATGGCAAACAGGGGTGAGAATGACCACAAGGATGCGGAGATTACCAGATATCCACACAGAAAGAAAGAAACAGATTCCGCTCCAGGATAAAGAGTTGCTGCTGCTCCGGGTGAAAGAGAGGCTGCTGCGGGAGAGGAGAAAGAGCTCCTTCTCGGTTAGTCATCTCTTCCATGTGTGGTTATGGTCAGGGATTTCGCAACACAGATCTGAGAGGCGAAGGCATCGGGGAATGACCAAGTAAAACACAAGACAGACATGAAAAGCAAACAAGGGGGCTTTGGAGGAACGCACAGACTTGTGAGCAGAACTGAGCAAACTCTAGTGTCAGGCTACCAGTCATCCCAAAGAGAAGACACCCAACTAGATAAAGTAGCATCCAGGCTTCAGGACAATGCTGCCACTCTCGAGCTTGAGATGAGCGGAGTACTGCACCGCAGCAGTGGCATCAAAGTCCAAGCTTCCCAGGATGTCCTTGACGAAGTAGCAGCCGCTCGAGTTCTTGCTATAGAAGACCGCGGCACAGGAGCAGTTTGCCTTGCACATATTCAGGCACTTGTCCAGGGGCGACACCATATCCGGCTGGAGCAGCTTGTTCGGGAAATACGAGACTCCCAGGAAATCCTGCCTCTGATCTAGCGGAACACGTCTCAGCAGTGATGAAAGGTGGTGGCGATGGACAAGCGGTGCTCGGGTCTACTTCATACCGCCCAGTGGCTCTCGAGAGGCACTTGCAAGGAGCCGAGCCTCGAGACTGGCACATACCATACTTCTTCTCACGGGCCGATACTCCATATAGCCTTACACACATCATGCAATCTAGGGTGCTTGTTTACATGGACTTCACTAGTTCATATTTCTAAGCACTGCAACATTCAGAACAAAACAAAGTTAGTATTAGATCTAGAAGAAAAAACCAGGGTCTCAACAGCCATAGCCATACAAGGACGACCAAGGATGCACAAGGGAGCATGCGTCCACCGGCAGCACAGCCAAAAGCCACCATAGCCACACTTCCACCAACCCAAAATAAAAGCGAATTGAAGCTACCTCTGGCAAAATCCTTAACCATGGCCGAAAGTAGCCAATGGAACCACACATAATCCACAACACACAGCAAAACGCCCACAAAGAATGACTTACAATTAGATTTGAGGAGGAGGAGTTCCTTCTTCCACAGCTGTAATTTTTTCTTCCGCAGCTGCTCTTCCTTTTTCTGCCAATATTTCGCCAGAAATTGATTGCCACTCTCAAAGGCAAAGAGAAAAGATTCCCCAGCCGCTTGGATCTGCGGCTCAAGACGCGCGATTTGAGCCTGCACCTTAGCCAATTCCTCGTCCATTTCGTTAGTTGAAATCCTCGCCGCCGCGCGCTGGGATCGATGATCCGGAGAGCGATCAAGAGCGCCCTATATATTAGCTAGGGTTAGGGATTCGATGATCGTCAGGGACCGCACGATCTTCATCCGACGGCCCGGTGGTTTAGACCACTAACTCAATTATAAACACAAGAGACAAAAAGTGAAAACTTAGCCACAATTTTGTTTGTTTAAGCGGTATGTATAGGTGTGCTCATCCCTCTGGAGGTTGTGAGTAAAGGGTCTTCCTGCCACCAAAGTAGAGAATGTGGCAGCCACTAATGCCATCCTGTCTTAGAGTCAAGCCAAATGGCTTGAGTCACATTCCTTCAATTTAAGCTTCTTAGTTTTTTTTCCTATTTTGTGAGAGCTGCTCTCTTTTTTTAGAGTATTAGGTGGAGAGGCTAGCTTCTCTTCACATGGTATCATAGGCATAGTGCTTTAGACACTAGGTGTCATCTATATCCTTTTGGAGAGATGGAGCAATGAATTTCTTTGTTGCAGAATTCTGGTTTATGAGGTGGGGATTTTGGCTTGTGGTGTTTGGAATGACAAAATGATAAAAGTTGATAAAGGTTAGTGGGTTTATATTTTATTGCTTGGCTTGTTGCCACACATTGCCATTTACAGTTGCATTGTGTGGCAAAATCATCTATACTAACAACAAAATCAATTTTCATTTTCTATAGCAATAATTATACAAATGCATATATGTGGTGAATGTAAGCAATCTTGAGTTTGAGCTTTTATTATTGCAAATGGTTTTTAGGATTGCATATTTGAGACTTTTCCTTTTTTTTCATAACTTTTTAATTTTTTTTCCTTCCCTTTATTTTTATTTTATTTCTTTTTACATTTACTTCCCATCACTTTGGTCTTCCAATAAATGTTTCTATTCAATATTTTTATTTTGCTCCTTTATTTCTCAAACCCCTCCAACAGTCTTTATATTATAGCAATTGACTAGCTTAAGAAAGAGTATTCTGATCTCTTCAACTTTGAATTATTATCCGCCAAAATTGGCATTGCTTCAAAAGTGTAGGCTTGTGGACATGAATTTGCCATCAAATGAGGAAGACTGGATGGAGTGCTGCAAAGATACTAATTTTAGAGATGCTAGCCAAGATCAAGAAGAAGGATCCCAGCATATGTACAAGCCAAAGGTGAAGTTTTCCGATAACAAAGGAAGAGAAAGCTTTGAAGAAGAGCAAAAAACCAGTGTACCTGAAAGATGTTCTGGCTAAGCAAGTTCTGGAAAATCCTGAGGGGGACAAGGATTGAAATCTTCCACAACACTCACTTCATTTATCTGCAGCATCAGGATCCAAAATTCTAATACTTTCAAGGTCCACCCCCCGGCATCAGGATCCAAAATTCTAATACTTTCAGGGTCCACCCCCCGGCATGAAAGCTCGGCTGGAAAGTCGTCTATGTAGCTCAGCAAAAGAGCCACCCACATTGTCCTCGAGGGATTGTCAATGAAACATTCGTCATTGATAAAGACGACCTTCTTGGAGGTGTTCTTCCAAAGTTGCCGAAGATATCCAGCCACAGTAGCAAGAGCAGTGGTCTTCCCAGAGCCCAGAGTTCCAGGAAGGTTGTCAGTGCCGTGTCTCAAGGTCAATACGAAACTTTTTATCTCCGTAAGAGTGAGCGACCCATGTACATGTATGTTTTACTCCATTCCAGAGAAAGCGGGAGTATGGAGCTCCCGAAAAGTCGCATGGCTTGTCCAGTCAGTGTCCGGTCAGATTCTCGTTCAGCTTCTTGGCCCAGGCGATCTTGTCTGACACAAAAAATTACGGCTTTCAGTCCCCTAGACATCATTCATACCAGGCACGTCAATCTCGGCTGGACGAAGTCCCGCTGGTGGTGGCGCTGGCGCTGTGAGAGGCACAATAAAGTTTATGGACACAGAATTAAACACAGCCAAAGGGCAAACAGGGGTGAGAATGACCACAAGGATGCGGAGATTACCAGATATCCACACAGAAAGAAAGAAACAGATTCAGGAAGCAAAAATCCTTAACCGTGACCAGACAGGGAAAGCAAAGCAGGACAGTGGAGCCGCTCCGGGATAAAGAGTTGCTGCTGCTCCGGGTGACAGAGAGGCTGCTGCGGGAGAGGAGAAAGGGATCCTTAGTCATCTCTTCCATGTGTGGTTATGGTCAGGGATTTCGCAACACAGATCTGAGAGGTTAAGGGGTCTCGACAGAGAGGGCAGCAGCGACGAAATTTGAAAGAAAAGGCATCGGGGAATGACCAAGTAAAACACAAGACAGACATGAAAAGCAAACAAGGGGGCTTTGGAGGAACGCACAGACTTGTGAGCAGAACTGAGCAAACTCTAGTGTCAGGCCGAAAAGCATACCAGTCATCCCAAAGAGAAGACACCCAACTATTACTAGACAGACAGCATTAAAGTAGCATCCAGAACTGGACAAATGGAATACCAAGAACTGGACAGAAAATGGGGATGCATGTGCAAGGAAACAAAGGGCTTTCGCAATTGCTTACCAGATCCGCGCACTGCAACATTCAGAACAAAACAAAGTTAGTATTAGATCTAGAAGAAAAAACCAGGGTCTCAACAGCCATAGCCATACAAGGACGACCAAGGATGCACAAGGGAGCATGCGTCCACCGGCAGCATAGCCAAAAGCCACCATAGCCACACTCCCAGCAACCCAAAATAAAAGCGAACTGAAGCTACCTCTTTAACCATGGCCGAAAGCAGCCAATGGAACCACACATAATCCACAACACACAGCAAAACGCCCCAAATCGAAATACACAAAGAATGACTTACAATTAGATTTGAGGAGGAGGAGTTCCTCCTTCCACAGCTGTAATTTTTTCTTCCGCAGCTGCTCTTCCTTCTTCTGCCAATATTCCGCCAGAAATTGATTGCCACTCTCAAAGGCAAAGAGAAAAGATTCCCCAGCCGCTTCGATCTGCGGCTCAAGACGTCCGATTTGAGCCTGCACGTTAGCCAATTCCTCGTCCATTTCGTTAGTTGAAATCCTCGCCGCCGCGCGCTGGGATCGATGATCCGGAGAGCTCAGTGGCGCCCTAGAATCGTCAGGGACCGCACGATCTTCATCCGACGGCCCGGTGGTTTAGACCACTAACTCAATTATAAACACAAGAGACATTAGCCACAATTTTGTTTGTTTAAGTGGTATGTATCTCTGGAGTAAAGGGTCTTCCTGCCACCAAAGTAGAGAATGTGGCAGCCATTAATGCCATCCTGTCTTACCACTGTTAGAGTCAAGTCAAGTGGCTTGAGTCACATTCCTTCAATTTAAGCTTCTTAGCTGTTTTTCCTATTTTGTGAGAGCTGCTCTCTTTTTTTAGAGTTTTAGGTGGAGAGGCTAGCTTCTCTTCACATGGTATCAGAGGCATAGTGCTTTAATCACTAGGTGTTATCTTTATCCTCTTAGCAATGAATTTCTTTATTGCAGAACTAGCACTTGCCCAGCATATGCTGTGTAATTAGCAAAATACTGTTTTGATTTTTTAATATATTAAAAACTAAATTAGAATAGTATTAAAACAACAAATATTATATTCCACTTTGATTGAGAGAATTATGCCTAGAAAATGTTAGATGAATAAAAAGCTAAATTTTTTAAACTTGATAATATAACTATTTAGAACAAAATATATTCTTAGGCATAAGTAAGATAAAATATTCATTCATAAAAATATTATATACAAATTATTATTTGGAAATATGAATATATTTAGAAACAAATTGACAAATAAAAAAGTAAAAACAAATAAAAGAGAATAATTACTGCAGGACATTAATTAATTATAAGTTTTACTCAAAATATAAAACAATAAGTTTTTAGAAACATTAATATATTGCTACCCAGATCCAATCAAAAAATAATTATTTGTATATATATATATATATATATATAATAAATTCAAATCTTATATTCCATAGTATTATATACTAATAAATTAGTAAAAATATTTTAAAATATTAATGTTTAATCAAATACTACATACATTATCGTAGTTTTTCTGATAATTATAAATAACTAAAGCTACATATAAAAATATAATATATACTTTTATTGTTAAATACCCCCACAGTTGTGATTTAGCCAAAAAATGATGTCTGTTTGAGAGAAACCTTAATCATCTAGTAATAAACCTTACTTTTTACTTCTAATATGGTTTCAACATTTTGATCTTTTGCACTTCTGATCTAATGTGGTCTAAAAGTAAAGTGACTACTTTTGAGTGAGGATAGGCAGATGCCTGTGCAAAATGCCTGTGAAAAATTAAGTTAGATTTGTGCAGTTCATGAGATTTGGGGAGTTCTCATCATGACTTATTTTTCACTCTTTGTTCTCAAGTAACGAACTTTGAACTACAGTCTATATTGCGGTGGGGGGGAAGGCAGGGTTTCACTGTGAGTTAGTTCAACTTGGAATTTTTCTCACACCTCTTACTCCCATTTTCATCAGGATATACAGCAAAAAATAGTTCGGGAGATACAAAGTGTCTCCTTATTAACTGGAACTGGTTTCATTGGAATTCTTTGCAGGTTAAGATGCTTTTTCCACCAATTGTGTCTAAAATGCCCATGCCTCATGCTGTTCTTGAGTCACTAAAAGACATCAACGTTTGATGCGGGAGACATCTAATGGGAAAATGTTCTCGATCTTCAGCTGCATGCTCAAGTTCCTCCGGGAGCTCACCGCCATCCGGACTTCAAGAGCCCCCAGCTGGTAGTGACGGACATAGTGAATGCGTCCAAAGTGTATTCCAGCTTCTTATCTTCAGTGGGAGCATCAGCAGATGATGACGATGAGAGGCAGATGATCGTCGTGGATGGCTGGCTGGAGTTTGAGGCCGCAGCTTGAATCGCTGTGCACATCAAGGAGAGTGGATGCGCTGCTGCTGGAAAAGACCGATGGCTTCTAGAAAAAGTTCCATGTAACTGATTTGGGTCAGGCTTGATACCAAACTGCACTCCCAGAAATTCTTTGATGGTCGGGAACAGCAACCCCTGTATGGCAAACAGGAAAGTTTGTGAGATCGACTTCTTTCCTTTCCAGCTTCACAGATAGATACCTGGTGAGTTGAATCTACAACTCCTCCCAACTTTTATCTCCTGTAGCAAGGACATGGCTGCTTGCATCCCCAGGTCCTCTGGAAGCTGGAGCTCGGATGCTCCAGAATGCGTAGCCACGCACTCGGAGCTTAAAATGCAGCCGGTGGTCATTTCTGCCACCAGTGAGATTCCATAGCCCGGAGATCTGTGCCATGACAAAGGAAGCAAGATGAAAAACGTTTACCTTGCAGCACAAAATCATGGAACTTACTTCCCGGAATCCGAACCAGTGTAGTGATCAGTAAAGATGTACATGTCGGGGAGCAAGCGCTTTAGCACACCACATTCGATTGGCCATATGAGGTGAGACGGGTGTGAAGTAACTCACTCCTCGGATACGTTTCACCATGCCCTTGTCCACCCATGTAGCAGCCTGGCGAAGGATTCTTAGCGAGGAGAGAAAGAAAAGAAGAGGAGTTTGGAGAAACTGACCGTGAGGCTCTTGGGGACAATGGGAACTTTGAGGACAGCCTCACCGCCACCCAAGGGAGGAGCTCCGCGGGCAACAACCTTGAGTTCTAGGCCTTCGACTGGAACACCAAAGTGCCTAAGCATTGGCAGTGTTGCTGTGCGAAAGGTGTCGGCACAGGGATCCCTGCTGTCATTCGTAATGCCTGTCACAGGCCACAAACAATTCTTCCAGGAGCAAAATCCTGCTACTACTGTCTTCATCGCCTCGCAAGCTGCCTGTCGCGCATGTGACTTCGGGTATCGAAAGTTACCTGTCGACTAGTCCTTACGGACACTCTTACCTTACTGCCACGATGGCAGGAGGTCGGTACTGCTGGTTCCCTTTATTGGCCCCTCTTGTTCAAGTGTTAGTAAACTAGACTTTGCATCTGTACTTGGCCGGATGAGCATAAGGAAGGAATTCCTAAGTGTCTATTTAGCTGAGCATACTTGGCCCGGCTTGTTAGTTCTCTTTTGCTCTGTCTTGCACTGGCTTGACAAGAACCCTCGCGTATTGAGATTGGTCCCTCAATATCGCTGGATGATAGCTTACCGTGTCTGCCAAACACCCTCGCTATCATGCCCTTTGTGTTAGTCTCATTTTGGTCCCAAATGCTATTTATGGAAAGTGTCCAGATTTGCTCATTTGGCATATCTACGGAATGTAGAGATCGGCCTGAACACAATGGTGTTCGTCCCGTGTCCAAATTCGCAATCTAAGGACATTCCATATTTAGTAAGTTTCGAGCTTGTCCCAGAGACTAACTCCTGATACTAAGGGAGGCTTGGGGTGAAAGCCCAAAGCGTGTGTTCCTCAAGGGGGGGGGGGCTGTGGGGGGTTCCAAATGTATAGTAGGGATAGTGGGTAGGTCGGGCATGGCCGACCAACCTGAGGCATAGTCTAGCTCCCGCTTGCGTGCCTGTCCTTGTTTTGCGTCCGGCTTGGGTCTAAGCCCAAGTTCCATTCCATGCTAGTTGGTGGAGTACCCATATCCTCGCGTTAGGCCACCGGTATGCCGAAATAGCGCCAGACTCCGTTTGGCTCCGTTTTGTGTGCTGGTCCTGGCATTGGGATGCTGGTTGCTCCAGGACTGTTCCAAGTCACTCCGGGCTCCTGTCCCTTCACTCCTTGGGCTTTATGCTCGGGAGTTGCTCCGTGGTTCGGTTCCGTCACTCCTTGGCTCCATGCTTGGGAGTTTGGCACCGTTCCTTCGTTCAATGGCCCAAGGCCTTGAACTTCGGGTTCCTATGGACACATGGCATGGACACGTGGCATGTGACACGTGGCATCTGTCACGTGGCACAAAGAGGGTTTAGGTTCCGCTTCGTGGTGTTATCCTATGGTAAATCACCATAGGATAAAGGGTCAAAACCACGTGCGCTACATTTGGTATCAGAGAGTAAGTCTCAGCGAGTACTATACAATGAGATTGGGCAACTAGTCTCGTTGCATACGCAGAGATGAAAACGATGGTCCGATTGAGTACACGTTTGGTGCAAGGGGTTCACGTTCGTTCCTTGGGTATGGTTTTGGTTACCTTTTGTACCTAACAATGTGAGCTTGCTCTTGGGCTCATAGGATGGATTTGAGATGCTCCGTTAGCACGAGTTTATGCTTGGGCTCGCGAGTGAGGCACATTAGCAACTCGAGATTAAACTTTGAGTTGGCAGGATTAATGTTAGCCTATCGGTAGTTCCATAAGTTGTTCTATGTACCATGGGTGAAAGCAAACTTTCCCTGGGTTTGCTATGAGTGGCAAATAGGCTGGTCCGTAGCTGTTTAGCACGACACTAGTAGATCTTTCCTAGGCATGATTACAAGTGGATCAACTAAGACTGTAGGGGTTAGTCTATTGGTTCAAGTAATCATTGTTGTGCTCTCTCATAAACTTTTCTTGGATTGGACTGAAGGCAGTGTGAAAGCAAGCTTGAGGTTTGGTCAAAGATGAGACCGAAAAGAGAGTCATCGGGGACGGAGGATCAAACACGTAAATCATCTTTTCTTCTTGGAGAGATGATTTGCAACGAGGTGTTGACTCATTGCTCGTATTCACATTATGCAATCAAGAGTCCCTATCTTGATGCATGTTGATTATGATGGTCTTACAAATGGTGAGTTATGGGATGGATAGCGGTGAAGCGTTAAACCATTTTGTCTAAGCTCGCTATTGGAAGACTTGGGTTACAATGCTCAATTCTTTTCCGGGGAACCTAGCTATTGCTCCTTGAGTAGCTTGGTGTTGGGTTAAGTCTTGAGTTTTTGATCGGATAGTGAGGGGCATGAGCTTGTCTGTGTTGTGAACAAAAGTTAGTGGTATTGGGTGTTGTAAATCTCTATCGGTAGAGTGTGGCATTTATGTTGCATTCTGTCAAGTTGAGTTGGCACTTGATATTCATGTAAACCTTTGAAGTAATGACATTGGCATTGTTCGTGGTGTTGCTCAATTGATGATCAAGTCATTGTGATTTCTATATCATATCCATGTGATAATGAGCAATGTGTTTACGAAGTTGCT